GCGGACAGTCCGTCGTCACGCACCAACCCACGAAGCTGTCTCTTATACACATCTAGATGTGTATAAGAGACAGGAGAGAGAGAGAGAGAGAGAGAGAGAGAGAGAGAGAGTAATCGGCGAGCGAGTGCTCTAGCAAACGGCTGCAGAAATTTGTCTGATGGCCAGCCCGGGGACCGCAAACGAGGAGTTGGCTATGTCCAGTGGCACTGGTGGCGGAGGTGAGGGATGCCGAGGCGACTCCGTCAGCTCCGGCGATGGAGCTGCGTCAGAAACCAGCGGCGGCTTTTCCGTCGTGTGGAGGACTTCGGGGGAAGCAGAGGTGAAGATGGTGCGTATACTGAAGGAGGAAATCTCTGATGAGGAGATGATCATCAAGGATTTCGAGCAACTGCTTGAGCGAAAGACGGGACAACGAGTCCAATCACTCTGGTTCCACGGTGTTCCCCTCGAGAGGGATCGCGCGTCTTACAAGCTGTGTCATCTCGTACCCCTCTTTGAAGCCACTCCATTGCGATTCGCTGTCAGTACGATTCCGAAAAATGACAGCTTGAGATTGTTCGTGGAGCCCTCGAGGAATGGGGTGTCTTGCGGCGATACCCTGGAGTTGTTTCCTGTAAGCGACGAGACAAGCGTGGAGGGGGTCAAGCGGATGATTGAGTCCAAAGTGGGGTACGATAAGGAATCGCAAGTACTCTGTCTCCATAATGACGTGGAGCTGGAGGATGGAACCCCTCTCTACTCTCTGGATATCGAAAGTGGAAGCACGTGGAAGCTGGAGTTATTGCGGACAGATGGGGAGGAGGCTTCCGACATGTCGGCTCCCCCTCCCGCTCCCGCGGGCTTTTTCCGCTCGAGACGGCGAGCATATTCACCACTCCTTGGGGGTGGTGGCCTCGGAGCATCTCGTGCGCGCATGAGCGCTTGCGGAGCACCTCCGCCGCCGCGCATGAGCCGTTGCGGAGCACCTCCGCCGCCGCGTATGCCGCCTGCGCGCATGAGCGGCATGCCATTGGGTGAATCGTCTCTTTTCACTGATGTTAGCGATGACACATCCATGGTGCGGGAGTTGTTCTCGGACTCTGCTCCTGATTGGAGAGTGTGCTCCAAAGGGCTGAACGTCGAAGGGAGCTGTTTAAATTTTAGACAGAGCTGTCGGGTCACATATAACCCGGTGATTTGTCCTGTCGGCTTCGGGCCGTTCAATTTGATGCTGGACAAAGCTCGGTGTCCTCTGTGCGACTCGGAGATCACCCCCATCACCTGCGGTTTCTATGACTGCGAATGGCGTTTCGAGGGCGTTAAGTCGACCGGCAAGGAGAGTGTCAGCAGCGATTGGAAGCTTCTGGAGGGCGAGTGCTATCACCTCTTCAGCGMCGAGCCAGGCGAGGCCATCGAGTGGGATGCCTTGGTCATCACAACAAGGCCGACTCGGAGGTGGAAGAAGAAGACGGGAGGACAGATAGACTGCGCGATCTGCTTTGACATGGTGGCAGGGTTGCCCGAGAGCACTAGTGTAGAGGCCCCCTGTCGTCACGAGTTTCACGAGGCGTGTTTAAAGAGCTGGCAGCTGCACTGCCGGCAGTTGAATCGGGGATCGTACTCGTGTCCTTTGTGTAGACAGGAGCATCCTTTCGACCTGTGTTGAGGACTGTCTTCTTCTTCTTCTTCTTCTTCTTCTTCTTCTTTTTATTCCTTTTGCTTGGTAGTACGCAGCATCTATGTCATCCTCTCACTAGTCTATATATGGTACGGGGGAATACCAACCAACCCGGATCTCTCCCCAGCCCGGGGCGTAGATTTGCACCACAGCTGTGGTGCGAGAGCAAGGCTGTACCACTCCCTCATCACCGTGTTGAGGGCAAGGCTGTACCAGTCCCTCATCACCGTGTTGAGGACTTTCTTCACAGGCCGCGTCCACACAAAGTCAGGCGTTTTTTTTTTTTTTTTTTTTTTTTTTT